GGCAGAGAGAGGGGGACAGAGGATCTGAAGTGGGCTCTGCACTGACAGCAGCGAGCCCAATACGGGGCTTTGGACTCTCCAACCGTAAGATCATCACTTGAGCGAAAGTTGATGCTTAATTGACTGAGCCCCCCGGGCGCCCCAATCAGAGACCCTTTTTTAAAACTGTTGGTTAGGGGCATCTGGCTGGCTTACTTGGTAGGGTATGTGACTCTTGATATCAGGGTTGTGAGTTCAAGCCCAGATTGGGTGTAGAGATTACTTAAAAATAAAATCTTTTGGGGCACCTGGGTGGCTCGGTCGGGTAAGCATCCGACTTAGGCTCAGGTCATGATCTCGCAGTTCGAGGGGTCGAGCCCTGCGTTGGGCTCTGTGCTGACAGCTCAGGGCCTGGAGTGTGATCCAGATTCTGTGTCCTCCTCTCTCTCTGACCCTCCTCTGCTCATGCTGTCTCTCTCCCTCTCTCAGAAATTAAAAAAAAAAAAAGTTTAAAAACAGGTTTAAAAAAATAAATAAAAGTTTTTGGGGCACCTGGGTGGCTCAGTCAGTTAAGTGTCCGACTTCCACTCAGGTCAGGATCTCACAGTTCATGGGTTCCAGCCCCGCATCGGGCTCTGTACTGACAACTAGCTCAGAGCTTGGAACCTGCTTCACATTTTGTGTCTCCCTCTCTCTCTGACCCTCATTTGTTCATGCTGTCTCTCTCTCTTTCTCAGAAATAAAATAAAAAAACATTTTTTAAAAAGTTTAAAAATAAATAAATAAATAAATAAATAAAACCTTTTGGGGCACCTGGGTGGCTCAGTCGGTTAAGTGTCCGACTTCCACTCAGCTCAGGACCTCGTGGGTTCGAGCCCTACATCGGGCTCTGTGCTGACAGCTCAGAGCCTAGAGCCTGCTTTGGATTCTGTGTCTCATTCTCTCTCCCCCTCCCCCGCTTGTGCTCTGTCTCTGAAAAATAAATGTTTAAAAAATTTTAAGTAAATAAAATAAAATCTTTAAACATAGATAAGTAAAAGTAAAAACCGTTAGCTAGGTTATGTCCTGACCTTCGAGGACTCCCTGTTGCTCCTAGAATCAAATCAACCCCTTTCAGTTTCCTGCATGTGGCCCTCAATGGCCACTCCCCCCACTTTCCTCCCACATCTCCCAGTAACAACCCAGGTCTCTGGTCCTCGGAGGACACCCCCAGGTGGCCAGCGTGGCCTCCTCGGGAGCCCCTGACCTCTGGACTTCCCATGGCGGCTGCTGCCTGGGCTGGGGGTCTCCGCAGGGAGGTCACCTCCCAGGGAAGCCCTCATGGCCCCAGCTGCATCTTATTTTATTTTCTATTTTTTTAATGTTTATTTTTGAGAAAGAGGGAGAGAGTGCACATGTGAGCAAGGGAGGGGCCTGGGGGTATGGGCAGAGCATCTGAGAGCAAGAGCCCAATTCAGGGCTCAAACTCACGAACCTCGAGATCATGACCTGAGCTAAAGTCAGTCACTTAACTGGCTGTGCCATCCAGGCACCCCGTGAATCCTCTTACTTAGGAACCAAAGGAATCTCAACAAGATGGAAAGTGATACTCACTGTAAAAATTAAATCTCCCCCACCCTAGACCCTTTCTCCCTCTCTCCTCTTTCCAGTTTCCTCTGCCATAAGCGGGAGCTTTCGCAACATACCATATTGCACCTTGCTTGTTTTTCCTTCCCCTCTAAACATACCTTGGACTTGATTTCTTAACCATCCAAGTAGATGTCATTGTCTTCAGCGGCCACTACTGCCTCTGGGTGGCCTTGAGGTTGATCCGAACCTTATATGCCACTTCCTCACACACATCTTTGCACTTATGGGTGACAATATCTGTGACATAAATCTTCCAAGGTGGAACTGCTGCATTGCAGGATATGTACATCTTGAATTTCAGTACATGTTGCCAGAGCCTTCCAGAGACTGCGTCAGTGGCTCCCATAAAAAGATGGGAAACCAACCAACTAAACCCTGGTCACTCCTAAACTTGTCATTGTGGCCAATCTGACAAGCAAATAAATAAATAGATTAATAAATTAAAAAAGCAATCTCAATGCTGTTTCGATTTTATTTCGTTACCACCACACCCCCCCCCCCCCCATCACAACTGAGACTGAGTATCTTTTCATAGAATACTCTTGGCTACCTACTACTGTCCATTTATCTTTTAGGGTATGGGTCATGTTCCTATAGATCCATAGGAGCTCTTTTTAGACCAGAATATTCATTAGCTTCTGACTCTGAGTTTTGCTATACATCCATTTTTATGGAGTCGGTTTATCTTTTCCTTTGTTTCTAGGTTTCCTGTTTCCTTGGAAACATCTTCACACCAAGATTTTCTTTTCACACACGCCTTCATTCTCTTCTCCTTTGACCTTTCTGGAATTTATGGCGGAATAAGGCATGAGGTAGGAACCCACCTTTATTTTTCTTTAAATAGTAACCAGGAGTCTCAACATCGTGAATGGCACACTCTCTCTTTTACGAACTTTTAACCACACCTACCACCACTGCCCAGGTCCCTGGAATGATCTGACCTCCGAGAGGCACTGGAAAAACAAATGCATGTGCCGTTGTTGTGAGCCCAGAGAGGCATCGCACGCCAGACCGCTGCAAGGTGGGTGGCGAGGTTACTGGACCAAGCCCCGGGGAGAGGGTGCCTCACACGGCACGAACCCCCTTCCCCCAACATCCCAACGCTGGCGGGACTTAGTCTGGAGACCAGTCCTTTACCAGATAGATGTTTTGCAAGTATTTTCAGCCTCTGGCATGGCTTTCCCTTTTCTCCTCACTGCGGTCCTATTTTGCATTTCCCTGTTACCAGTGAGATCGACGCTTTGTGTCTGTCTGTTAGCTGTTCAAGCTTCGTCTTCTGTGAATTATCAACTCATATGCTTTCTCTTGAGGTGTACTGCCTTTTTCTTAATAACTTAAAGTTTGGGGAACTTTGAGAAAACTTCTACGAGCTCCTTCCAACCATATCCAGTGACCTACCTGGCTCTCTGCCCACACATGGCTGCTCCCCACCTCCGCAGTGAGATGTGCGCATTCCTTGCTAAGCCAACCGTCACTTGCGCATTGGACCCCAGCTCACCAGCTCCCGTTGGGCTCAGTGTTTGTTTTTTTAAACTTATTTTTATTTATTTTGAGAGACAGAGAGAGACAGCATGAGTGGGGGAGGGGCACAGAGAAAAAGAGAGAGAGAGAGAGAGAGAGAGAGAATCCCAAGCAGGCTCCATGGTTAGCACAGAGCCCAATGCGGGCCTCAAACTCACAAACTGTGAGATCAGATCAGGACTCCAGCTAAAGTCAAGAGTTGGATGCTTAACCGACTGAGCCACCTAGGCGCCCCGATCTTCGTTTGTTTTTAAGGCTGAATAACCTATTGTATATATGCACCACATTTTGTTTGTCCATCCTTCGCTGTTCGGACATTCGGATTGTTTCCACCTTCTGATTACTGTAGTGTTGCTACGAACACTGGTAGACAAGTAACTGAGTCTTAGCTTTCAGTTCTCTGGGGTACCTACACCTGGGATTGCTGGACTCAATAATTGTTCAGCTTCTTGTGGAACTGCCAAACTGTTTTCCACTGTTATCATTTTGCATTCCCACTGGCCACGCACAAGCGCTCCAATTTCTCCACTAGCACCAATACTTGCCATTTTCTGTTTTGCTTGTTTCACTTTTGCTTTTATAGTAGCCGTCGTAATGGGCACAAGGTGGCACTTCACTGTGGTTTAGATTTGCAGTTCCCTAAGGACTCACGATGCCAAGTCTCTTTCACAGGATCCTTGGCCATTTGTAGGTCTCCTTTGGAGAAATGCCTGTTTAAGTGCTTCGCCTGGTAAAAGGGAAGGGCCCAGCACTTCATTCTTTTGCACCCAGAGATCCAGTTTTCCCAGCACGTTGTGGAAAAGGCCGTTTTTTCCCATTGGATGGTCTGACACTCTTCTCAAAGGGCTTATTTCTGGGTTCTCTACTCTGTGCCCTTGGCTCCTGTCTGAATGCCAGTCACCACACTGTTTTTATTATGTAGCTTTGCTAAGTTTTGGAATCAGAATGTGTAAATCCTCCAACTCTGTTGTCCTTTCTCAGGATTGTTTGGGCTTGGGCTGTCTGGGGGCCGCTTAAGGGTTCATACGAATTTTAGGATGGGCTTTCCTATTCCTGCAAAACACCAAGGCTGGTGGCTGGACACGTGGACACGAGAACTTCTGACATGCGAATATTTGGTGTAACTCGAGCATGGTGGGTGCAGGGGTGACAAGGAGGCACCAAGAGAGAACGGGAGAGGTGGCCTAAAGCCAGATTCCGATCAGGAGGGGCCACGGAACAGTGTTAGGGAGCTCACCTGTCACCGTGCAATGAGCGATAGAGGAGGGCAGTGAGGGTGCTATGTGGGCGGGAAGGAGGGGCCAGCCGTGTCCCCCACCTACCCACCCAGTCCCTCTCTACTGCAGGGAATGTTTGAAGAAGACGTGGAGAGCTGAGGGGGCGCTGGGACACCCAGGGGAGCCCCCCCGAGAACCGGAACAGGTGAGCATTGCACGAGAAGCCACACACAAGAGAAGGTGAGGCTGTTATGAACTCGGAATTACATTCACACTGTGTAAGAAACAAGCAAGTCACAGGGATCTGGGAAAGAAAAATCAAAGGACAGGAGAGACCTAAAGGGGAAATGAGAGTGTGAGAGCAGCGTCAGGGCCAGTTTCCTTTCCTAACAAGTAAAATAAAACTAGGTCCCCAGAGGCAGGTCAAGTTTTCTCCTTGTGTGCCAAGCAGACAGAGCCTCCTGGACGTGAGAACGCCAGCCTGGGTGACGTCAGAGCACCTGAGCCCCAGGCCCGGAGGGTGAGGGTGGGGGCTATGAACTGCATTCCAAGAACTGCAGCTCACCTAGGCTGCTCCCTCTCACTCCAAAAAATTAAGAAAGGACAAATAAATATATAAAAGGCAGGAAAGAATAAAGATTCCACATCTGCTTCTTTTAACTGACACAAAAAAGTGTTTATTAATCCAGTTTTCCTTCCCTTGCCGTGCAGGGAGGACACAGATGTCCTGATAGGTCGGCGTGGAGCCATCGGAAAGCTCCACAGGCACGGAGTCCAATGTTACGCAACAGGACCTCAATTGCAGTGTGGTCTCAAGTCCAGGTGCCGAGCAGACCAAGCCCAGGGTCTCCAGCCTCTGCCCAGGAGCACTGCGCGGGCCGAGGAGCATGAGAACCAGAAGCGCGGTGTGGGCATCAGAGAAGGCTCCAGGCAGAACGCAACTGTGATTGTCCTTCCCATTCCAGAAGCTCCGGCTGGCCACCCTCCGGGCTGCTGGGTCAGGGGCCTGCCTCCTGGGGGCGCCTTCCTCTGGCTGCCACTCAGATGGCTGCAGGCCCAGATCACCAGGGGAAGCGGTCCCTGTGCGCCAGCCTGTTCCCCAGGCCATCACGCTGTCTCTGCGGCTGGTCCGGCCGGCCACCCGATGTTACTGTTGCTTGTGTGGCGGGGCCTTCTCAATCGGCGGCAGCTTCCTGTGGATCAGGCTGAGTCCGCACAGGATGAGGAACACGCCTCCCCACCACAAGACCTCCTGGCACTCCCCGTACAGCACAAAGCCCAGGAAGGCCTGTGGGACAGAGACCACCGTGAGGCCAAGTGGACCCGTGCCCGAAGGACTTGACCACAGTGGGCAGGCACCACCTCACTCCCCGGTGCCTGGCTGCCCTCCTCCTGGGGCAGGAGGAAGGGTCCGGAGCTGGAGGCCTGGAGCTTGAAACCCAGCTGTCACCTTCCGCAAGGCACTATTCATTTCCAGCCGGAGATGGGTATGGGGGGAGTGTGGCTTCCTCACAGCATTGGCCCCAAGCAAAGTGCGCAAGAAAAGTCTAGCAGAGGCCAGCAGCGAAGGCCCAGCACACAGCCGGCGCCTGGTGTTTGCTGATCCAAACAGACATGCCACGTCCTCCCTCCCTCCCTCAACGGCGGGACTGGCTGGGCTCAGCCCCACCTGGTTGACATCAGGCCTTCGGAGGAAAGAGTGTCCGCCCTCCCCGGCTCAAGCTCAGGTTTACAGACCCCCGGGAGACAGCATGCACAGAGATTAGATACTTCAGCATGCAGGCTGCAGCCTGAAGGGGCTTTTTTTTTTTCTTTACAATTGGCCTTCACTCCCATATAACACTTGAGAATTCCACCAAGTTCGAGGTTAGAGGAGCAGCCACCAGAGGTCGACCCACAGCCCAACCTCTGCTTCAGTTCTTGTCTTTTCTCCTATCTGGGAAGGCAGGAGTTCCCCCAACCCACCCAGAATCCTCCCCGAACCCAGCTTGGGGACAGGGGTACTGACTGGTACCCTCAGGCGACTCACCGAGCTGAGGATGTTTGAGAAAGTCACCGTGACAGACGCGATGGCCGAAGACATGGAGAAACTGAGGCCCCGGCTAAAGAACGTCCACATGAGAGAATTGGTGGTGGCCATCACGACAATGCCTACGATGCAGAAGACCATGTTCCCCTGCGGGAGAGAAAGTCACTGCAGCCACGCTCGGCCGAGGCAGACCTGCCGCCTTCCTCACAGCACGCCCAGGGCCCTGATCGGCAGCAGCAGCGCCCCGACTGAGGTCCCACCAGAGCCTACAGGCCTCCACTTAACCCTGGGCTCAGCACACTCATTTTATAGTTGAAATAAACCCTGAGGAGGCTTCTTTAGCCATCTGGCTGGCCATGTGTCCTTGGGAAGAGTAAAATGTTAAGCCATAACCAGCAATTCTCTCGAACACCAGTCACCTGTTGATGCTAAAGATCAGGACGAGATGGCCAAGCAGTTATTAGTCAGTATGTAGTGTGAGCACACCAGCGGCAGAGTCCTCACTTCCCGGGATCAGGTGAAGTATGAATTAGCCATGCTCCTCCCCACCCCACCCTACACAGGATACAATCCCACTTTTCTTGAGCTTTTACTCTGTGCCAGGCCCTATGCCAAGTGCATTCTCATTTACTCCTTACCTTTACTTTAACAGATAAAGAAAAGTACCTTGCCTAAAGAGCCGAAAGCTGGCGGTAGCCACCAGGATTCAAACCCAGGCAGTGTGGCTCCATGCTTTTAACCAGGACACAGCCCTGCTTAGGGAAGCCACCACTGACTTGACTACTGATCCCAGACATCACTTGGAGAACTTGCAGCCTCTTCCTTTCCTGTTTTTTTTTTTTTTTTAAATAAAGGCGAGAGCCTGGAGGAGAGGATATTAAATTGAGCCTCCTACACAAAGAATATGCAAGACCCCCTCTCGCTTTCAGGTGGAGCCGCTTCCTCTGGGGAGCTCACCTAAATATCAGGCTCTTATTTCTCACAAGTTTTCCGGCTGCTGAATATACAGTGTCTTACGGAAAGGGTGTCTTTGTATAATTTTCACAAAAGCAGGTGGCCGCCTGCTTACATAGTTACGAAGGCCTGGTGCACAACTAAAAATACTAGACAGTCTCATGCTTCAGGGTCACTCATCTTACTTGGGATCACTTCAAGAATTATACCCAACAGAACACTAACCTCAAGCATTGTGGTTCCCACTGGATTAGCCCTAAACAGGCTTCCCCGCCCTCCACCCGCCCGCTAGGAATCAGTCTGTGGGCTGTCCAGGTAAGGACCGAACTATGGGTTGCAGATGCAATGAAATCCCTCTAGCAGCAGACGCTGGCCTGTGAGTGGGGACGGAAGTGGCAGAGATACGCTTTAGCAGGCGTGGGGAGGCAGTTCAGGAGTTCTCATTATCGGGGATGGGAATGTCCAGAATGCTTCTCTGTCCTCTCTCATGCCTGGGTGTCCCAAACTCCCAATTTTCCTGGCAGCAGGGTACATGCCAGTCGAAACACCCGTTAATTACGGAGTAAAGAGAGGGACAAGGGCTTCTCACCTGGAGTTAGGAGGAGAGAAATGTTCAGGCATAAGGGGCTTAAAATGAGAGGTACAGAACGGACGCAGGAAAGCGAACTAGCCCAATCGGAGGGCAGAGTTTAGGTCCCTGGTAGGGAAAAGGCTCAGGTCTCTTACCGCCCACACGGGACGAAGATTTGAGGTGATTTAGAAAGGAGGGATGCTCCCTCGCCCTCCCGCCCTCGACCTCCGCAGCGCCCCCCATCCGCCCGGACCCACCCGCCCGCCTGCCACAGCGGCGCCCAGGGCTCGACCTCGCTGCCGAAGGCCAGCTTGGCGGCGGCGGCGGCCAGGGCCCCGAAGGCGCCGGCGCACAGGCAGTTGAACACGCCCCAGAAGCGGCGCCGCATCGCGCCGGCCTGGAGGTGCGGGGGGAACTCCGCGGGGGCGTCGGGGTAGGCGGCTGCGCACACGGCGCCACCTGCGGACTGTGGCCTCTCGACCATGGTGCCCGCTGCCTCCTCTCCCCGCTCCGGGCGCACCCGCCACCCGCGGGACCCAGCGCGCGCCGCGATTGGGCGGCGGGCTCACGTGACGCCACGCTCACGTGAGCAGGGCGGCCAATTCGGGCGCGGGGAGGGCCTCAGAGGGGCGGGGCCGGGGCCGGGACTAGGGAGCCGCGGTGGGGCCGAGGGCAGCCTGCGGCGTTAGGCTTGGATTTCCCAGGGACCTGTCTTCGGTCGTACTGTGTGGCTGCAGTTAGAATTAACTCTCCACGACCCGGCCGTTTCAGTCCTTGCTAGAGTGTTGTCCAGCTTCGCCTCCCCCCGGGAGTTTGTTAAAAATGCCCAATCCAGGCCCCGCCCAACAGCCACTTAATTAGAATCTGCATTTCAACAGGAGCCCCAGGAGATTCACCGGCACCTTGCAGTTTGAGAGGCGCAAAGTGGCAAGACTCCTCAGCAGAGGGCGCTAGAGACCTCCGCGACTCGGGAAGACGGGGCTGGGGGCGGGGGGCGGAGGCTCGGGTTCGGGTTTTCTGACCAATCAAAAGGCGCAGGTGGATAGGCGCTCATCGAAGTATTTTGATTACAGAGTAAATCATCCATAATCGCACCACTCAGATAACCAGGATTAACAGTACTTCTGATTTCCTATGCACTTAAATGTTTAAAATCTTTTCGTGTAAAAAGTAGTACACGTCTTTGAAAGAGAAGTGTTGAAGTGCATAAAGGACGACTCCACCCTCCAGGAAAATCATTGTTATTAGAGTGCTTCCTATGCATAGTTTTATATATAGCACATGTTAAGAAACAGCTTATGTAATTTGTATGGGCCTTTTTTATTTAGTATGATTTCACACAGAACTGTTCAGTAGCATTTTTTTTTTTTCCCATTCAGAAAGTTTTCGTGGAAGTCCTTCCTTGCCACCTCTCTCACAGGGGGGTTTTGTGGCTCAAATTAAGGCATGGATAAGCCTGGTAACTGCTCTTTATAGGCCGAATTGTGTCCCCCCAAAAAGATACGTTTAAGTCTTAATCCTCCACACCTGTGAATGTTACCTTAATTGGAAATGGGGTCCATTGCGGATGTGACCAAATTAAGAAGTCTTTAGTATGAGCCCTAATTTCACTGGGGTCCTTGTAAGAGCCAGAGACACAGGGAGAAGACTGTGTGACAAGGGCTGCAAACTGGAGTGAAGGAATGCCGGGGGCTGCTGTCACTACCACCATCTAAGGAGAAAGGCGCGGAACAGGTGCTCCTGGGAGCTCTCAGGAAGAACGGGCTTGCCAACACCTTGACTTTGGACTTCTAGCCTCCAGAAACTGTGAGAGTCTATTTGTTTGTAGCCCCAGCTTGTGGTCATTTGTTCCAGCAGCGCCCAGACATTCCTATAGGTGGGTGAGGTGAGACCCCAGCGTCTTTAGTACCAGCTTCAATATCCCCGCCCTTCTCCACCTTTACGGCGCTCTTTACCTTACAAGGAATTTTATTTTAAGTAATCTCTCCCCCCAGCATGGGGCTTGAACTCACAACCCCAAGACCAAGAGTCACGCTCCACCAGCTGAGCCCGCCAGGCTCATTGGCTTTTAGTTCCTTTTCTGTTTCTGGGAGTTTTTAATTTCTCCTTGAGAATTCAACTATGCATTAAGTTTTAAAATTGTTTTTCCTCAGCTTTATTAAGGTATAATCTACAAACCATAAAATGAAACCAATTTGAATATAGTTTAATTTTTAGTAAATTTAGAGAGCTGTGCAATCATCACCACAGACCAAAACATTTCCCCTCTATCAGAAAGTTCCCTCCTGTCCATATGGCCACGCGCTCCCATCCCCAGCCACAAGTAACATGGGTTAGTTTTCTCCCTCTCCAATATTGCCTTTTCTGGACATTTCACATAAATGGAATCATACAATATGTGACCTCTTGGATCTGTCTTCCTTCACTTTCTGAGGTTCCTTATGTCGTGGCATTAGTCAGTTTGCCTCTATATTGCTGAGTATCGTGTTCTATTATATGTAACAAACGCTCAGCACCATGAGGCATTAGGAGACCGTTTCCGTGATGAGCCACTGCACCACCACCAGGCTGGCCACGGCAAGAAACCTGACCAGAACAAGGGCTGAGGATGTGGAGAAACCGAACGCCCTGTTGGCGGGCACGTAGATGGTGCAAGCAAATAGCGCATCGGGAAAAGTAAAGTGGCGTCTCACAAAGCTAAACACAAACTTAGCAGCAGTTCCACTCGTCCATGTCTGCTCAACAAACAGGAAACGTAAGTCCCCACCCAGCCTGCTACACAAGTATTTATAGCAGCATTATTCGGTGTAGCCCCAAACTGCCAACGGCTCAGATGTCCATCAGATGGTGAGTAAATAAAATGTGGCCTTAGCCTTTCAGTGGAATATGACTGCCAACATATGACTGAATGAAGCGCTATGACACCGAAGTTCCTGGAGGGCGGCGGATTTTGTTTGCTCTGATCACTGATGACCAGCGCAGGGCGGAAGATGGGCGCTCGTTAAGTACAAGTTGAACAAAAAGCCTTTAATTTAGCTCTCCAAAATGAACAATGTAAATCACTTTACTAAACTGTTTGTATTTAAGGGATTTTATTACGTTTAGAAAACTGGCCATATTTACAGTCATAAAAAAAAATGCTCACGAGAATAAAGTAGGAATACAAAAAAATAACCTATATTAACCAAGTTTGCCTTTCATACATGCTACGCAGACATTAACCTCATGGCAAGTTCTGAAACTACCGCATACTGTGAGAGCTTCTGCTACAGGCCCCCGAGGAGAGTATGACAGTATCTGAGGAAGAAATAACCTGGCCAACACCCACTGCAAACCTTAGCTACAGGCTTTTATTTTAAAAAGGCAAAAGGTTTTCCAGTATTTACAGTCGATTTTAGAGCTCTGACATGGGGTGGTAACTTCAAACAGCAGACTGCCCCCTGCCACGGGCTATGTGTGGATGCAGAACTAGAGCGACGGCCCCGCCGCCCCACACGAAGGAGTCCTGCTCCTTAAATTCAGCTCTGTTAAATGCGCACGCGTAGGCCTTACTTTTGCAAGAGGAAAGAAAATCTCCAAAGAGGTGACGCCTACATAGTTGACCAAGATCCTTACGATTCACTTCTTTTCTTTTCTTTTAAAAATACATTTTCAGCACGCAACTTTTCGGTCTCCTAGGGAGCAAATTTTTTAAAAAAGAAAAAGAAAAAAGAGATTCAGGCTCTGGTGCTTACAGGAAGATATTCTTTGCATTCATTAAGTTTGTATGTCAAATTAAGACTACAGTTTTCAATTTGTAAGCTACTAAATGTTAAACAAGAAGCTGGTGTGTAAGAGTGTGAATAACAGACTGAAGTATGCTCGGAATGACAATGACTGATTTTTTTAGTTCAGTAAGTTCCCCAAAAAAAGCAGTAAAGTGATTCAATGATTAAACTTTAACTATACAATCATTCTAAAACCACACTGAGTTTCTGCAAAATAATTTCCAGAGCTTACCTCAGCGAGCCTGACATTTTCCTTCTTCAGCCGCACCACGTACTGAATCTTCTGATGGAGGTTCTGGTGACCCACCAACTTGCCATTTTCCTCCGCAAGACTCTCTACCTGCTTCCTCAGCATTTCCATCTCCTGCAGGCAGATCAATCCAGGGAGGAGAAAATGAATTGCTCTTAATTTTTCTTTTACAATAACTATTTCATGCCTTCCAAGAGAACAGGGCATTAGAGGGCCCAGGTTCCTGGCTTTCATGACCAGACGTCTCCGCAGACGCTAGAGCAGCTCTGACCCACAGGACACCCAATCACACACGTATCCTACTACATGCAAAAAAAACCCCAACACACAAATGCACCTGGAATATTTTCTCCTTTTCTTCATACAATTCTTCCAGCTTTGATCTCAGTTGTTCCTTTTCTTGGAATGCTTTAGATTCCAAAGTTCGGGTTCGTTCAACCTCCTCAGCCATTCTGAGGCAGTCCATCTCTTTGTTCTGAAGGGCACTCTGGACTTCTTCGAGGCTGTAGCAACAAATATCACTTTGTGGCATTCCAAAAGAACATAATCACAACAGTATTCAAATTAGACATTTTTCACCCAAGCCCAGAATTTTGATTTGAAAGCGTCAAGAGTTATCCAGCCCTCCCCTACCGACGACAGCGGGAGAAAAAGTGTCCTGAGTTACCCAGCCCTCCCCAGCCCTCCCCTTCTGATGGCAGGGGGACAGCAGGGGCTGCAGATGTGCTTTGTTGTTGTTCCTTTACCAAAACCTTTCATTTTGGAAAATTCCTCAAACCATTTTAAAAAAAATTTTTAATGTTTTATTTATTTGTGTGTATGTGAGAGAGAGACAGAGAGCGAGCGAGCAAGCGAGCCTGAGCAGGGGAGGGTCAGAAAGAGAGGGAGACACAGAATCCAAAGCAGGCTCCAGGCTCTGAGCTGTCAGCACAGAGCCCGACATGGGGCTCGAACCCATGAACCATGAGATCATGACCTGAGCTAAAGTCGGATGCCCAACCAACTGAGCCACCCAGGCGCCCCTCAAACCATTTTTTAAATAGTGAATATTTAGAAGGGCAACTTTTGGATTCAGCCCACTGGAGCAAATGTAATTTAAGTATTATTACAGACTGCATAGTTTATTTAATGCCCCATATCTTAGTTCTTTCTTTTTATATTTATTCATTTTTTTTAAAATTTTATTTATTTCTAGGAGAGAGAGAGAGAGAGACAGCGTGAGCAGGGGAGGGTCAGAGAGAGAGGGAGACACAGACTCCGAAATAGGCTCCAGGCTCTGAGCTGGCAGTCAGCACAGAGCCCGACGCGGGGCTCGAACCCACGAACCGCGAGATCATGACCTAAGTGAAAGTCGGACACCTAACCGACTAAGCCGCCCAGGCGCCCCTATTTATTCATTTTTTGAGAGAGAGAGCACGAGCAAAGGAGGGGCAGAGAGAGGGGGAAACACAGAATCTGAGCTGTCAGCACAGAGACCGAGACAGGGCTTGAACTCA